AGGAAGGACTCCAGTCCATGCAGGGTGCACACCTTCGATCCCAGCATTTAGAAGGAAGGCAGAGGCAGGTGGATCAATGTGAGTTTGAAGCCAGACCGGTCTACACAGTAAATCCCAGGATGGACAGTAAGGGCTAAGTACAGAGACCCTGTCTCAAAAAAAAAAACACAGAGTTCTAGGCCAGCCAGAACTACATAGTGAGACCCTGTCTCAAAAAAAAAAAAAAAAAAAAAAGAGAGTGTAGACAGATTATAGGAGTCTGAGGTGATAGATTCCAATGAAACAGTTCGAGGACACAGTAAGACAGCCAGCTGCTCATATGAACTTACATAAGTCATCACAGCATGCACAGGACCTGTGGGAGCTCAAATCACCCCACCATGGAGGGGGGTGGGCTCGAAGTCCCACACCCCAGCTGAGGAGCTATTGAAAGCTGCTCAGAGAGAGAGAATCCATTTTCTTTAAGGGTGTGGCCCCCGGTGAGTTGATCAAGATCTATGGGCTGGTCCTACACCCGAGGATTTAGGCTGCAATGAACTTGGGGGGGAAAAAAGAGAGAGGAAATAAAATGGGTTGGGTAGAGAAGGCGGTGGATCTGAGAGGACTTAGGGAGGATGGTAAATATGATCAAAATACATTCCATGATATTCTCAAAGAATTAATTAAGTACCATTTTAAAGGGCTGCAGGATGGCTCAGTGGTTAAGAGCACTTGCTGTTCCTCCAGAAGACTGAGTCAGGTTGCCAGAACCTGTACTGAAGGCTCACAAGCACCTGCCACGTCTCCTCCAGGGGATCTGACATGCTTCTGTGCACATACCCACACATGGACATGCATGATGAAAAAACAAATATCTTACAAATACTACTTCAAAGCTGGGCGGTGGCAGCACATGCGTTCAATGCCAGCGCTTGGGAGGCAGAGGCAGGTGGATCTCTGAGGCCAGCCTGGACTACAGAGCGAGTTCCAGGACAGCCAAGGCTGTTTGTTACACAGAGAAAATCTGTCTCAAAACAAAAAATATTATTTCAAAAAAACAAAACGATAAACACACAAGAAAGAGAGCTTTATTCAGCCATAAAGAAAAGAAAATGGAATTATGTCATTTCCAGAGGAGGGAATAGATGAGTCTGGAGACGAACCGGACTCAGAAAGAAAAACACTGCATGTTTTCTCTCATTAGTAGAGTCTAGATTTACACAGGCATGAGATCAGAAGGGGAGAGGAGAAAGGAGAGGGAGTGGGTGGGGAAGGACGAGAAGGAGTGATGGCAGAGAGTGGCTGTGAGCAATCTGTGGTCATAGACACGGATAAAATGGCGTAACCACGGCTGGGATGCAGCGCAGCTGACAAAGAACTTGCCTGGCGTTCATCAAACCCGTGATCCCATCCGTCCCCGGCCCCATAACTGGAAATAGTGATGCACTCCTGGAATCCCAGCACTGAGGAGGTGGAGGCAAGTGGATCAGAAGTTCAAGGTCGTCACCGATGGGCAGCATGGACCCGGTCTCCAAAAAAAAAAAAATGTCATAATGACACCGTACGTCTTAATCACAAGGCAGAGAGAAATGGGATTGGGCTAGAAGCTACTTCCTGCCGGTCAGGCCCTGTGGTGCCAGAAAGTGCTCTGCAGATTGCTGGGGGGAGAATTGCCATCAACAGCATTTCCCAGCTGTGGACCCAGTGTGAACACTGCCAAACAGCCAAGTACGAGATGTGCCCACTGGGGCGGTAGTGGCAAGTCTGTTATAGGGGTAACTAATGGCTTCCTGATTGAACTTGAGGCCCTGGTTGGACTTGAGGCCTGCTCCACAGGGGGAAGTTCCTGTCTGGTACTGTAAACACCATCAAAAGTCAGTGGCTGGCCAGGGGCTGAGGTGCACACTTTTAATCTCAGTACTTGAGAGGCAGAGGTAGGTGAAACTCTGTGAGTTCAAGGCCAGCCTGGTCTACCTACAAAGGGTCAGTCAGGTCAGTCAGGACTATAGAGTGAGATCCTGTCTTGAAACCAAACATGACTTCTCATCCACTTTCCCTTTTCAGTGCTGGGATTTTGTCTGGCTTTTGCCTGTGCAGGTCTTGTGTATGCTATCATGGTCTCTTTGAGTTCATACGTCTATTGATGTGTGTGTGTGTGTGTGTGTGTGTGTGTGTGTGTGTGTGTGTGTGTGTGTGTGTGTGTGTGTGTGTGTGTGTAAGATGTGGTTTCCTTGGAGTTCCTTTGGCTTTGGCAGTCTTTCCTCCCCCCTCTCCAAATAGATCCCTGAGCCTTGAGGGGAGGGATTTGATGAAGACATCCCATTTAGGACTGAGAGTATTGGGGTCTCTGACAGCAATATCGCCCAGCTACAAACCTTTTTTGTCCTATGATGGTGACCTGCCTGTAATAGGTGTACAACTATGGCACAAATATTATGAAAATAACCAACTACTTCTTGATTTATTTAAGGCCTGTCCCATAAGATGGAAATCATATCTGACACTGCTAGGCTGTTATTGCTGAGGACCCACCCAGGCTTGGTTTCCAGCACCTACATTAGGGGGCTCACAATGGCCTGTAATTCCAGTTTCAGGGGATCTGACACTCTTCTGGCCTCTGTGCATATTCAGACAGACAGATAGATAGATAGATAGATAGATAGATAGATAGATAGATAGATAGGTAGAGAGGTAGATAAACATATATATACTTTTTTAAGTTATAGATGATTATATGAATATATATGAATATATATATTATATATTATATAAAGTCATAGATATGATTGTTTCGTCGATTTCCCCATTGTCCACTTCCCTTGATCTAAGTCTTTTTGTTGTTGTTGTTGTTGTTTAGTTAGTTTTGGTTTTTTGAGACAGGCTTTCTCTGTGTGGTCCTGGATGTCCTGGAACTCTCTATGTAGAGTAGATTGACCCCCAAACTCAGAGATCTGTCTGCTTCTTCCTCCCAAGTGCATGTTAAAGGCGTGGTCCATCATTTCCGGCATCTAGATCTTTGTCTGTGACTTTGGGTGCCGTAGAAGGTGAGTCTAATGACCTCCATAGTCCTCTTGGGTCATAAAGACTTTCAGTCACTTTTTTATATTAGTCAGATGCAAGAAGAAGAAAAATGGTGTCAGCTCAGTAATTGAAACGCCTTGGCAGGCTGCCTGCAGCTGCAGAGTTAGAACGCTCAGCTATTTCTTTATTCCCCACCTGGACTTCTATTCCTCTCCTGCTCTCTCACAAGGATGCAAGCCTCTCATCTGCACCTCCTGTACTGGGAATGCATCTCCTCCTGTCAGTCAGCTAAGGACACCTGAAACCTCAAGGGCCCCTTCTGTAGATTTCCAGGTTCTCACTGCAGTGCCACCATGCGCCTCCAGGTGGCGCTCGTGCAAAAGTCATTTCTCGCCCGGTTCTGTGTCTCTCTGTCCGTTCCCCTCCTCCCGGAGCCCTGCATCCCTAAGCTGGTCTCAGACTCTATGGAGTTGAGGATGATCTTGAACTTCTGATCTTCCTGTGTCCTCCATTTCCTGAACCACGGAATTACCGGCCTGCGCTGTCACACTCAGTTTATGTAGTACTGGCTTTGCCTATGCTACAAGCCCTGGGCTGTTACCTCCCAGCCTTCCCGTTTCCTCCTTTTCTTATTCCTCCTGTTTGTGTTTTTCTCCTGCCCCTTTTATTCCTGCCTCAGCCTCTCAGATAGCTGGGCTTGCAGGCCTGCACCCCACCCATGCTAGAAAGTTTCCACTATTAATTAAACTTATTTTACCAGAGAAGTCTGTGGGCTACGTGGCTTCCTGCACCAGGCCCCAGGAGACCAGACCAAGCCGCAGTGGAGTCCCCTCTTCGAATAGCCAAGTCATCTCACTGATCTCACTGCACTTTACAGCAGGCTGCCTTCTAAAACCAGAAAATTTCCAGGCCACCTGGCTCAGGATGGTAAGGAAATCCCCCGGGGACTTCTCTGCATGATGAGGACAGTGAACTATTCACCCCGTGTTCTCTCTCTTCATCTCTCTCTCTCTCTCTCTCTCTCTCTCTCTCTCTCTCTCTCTCTCTCTCTCCTTTCTTCACACCCCTGCTTCCTGTGAAGCTGACCTCCCTGTGACCTCCCTTTGCAGCTCAAGTGCCTTGTGGTTTTTAGGGTGAGGTACCGCCTGGCGGCAGACCACTGATATGAGTCAGCCAGATCTTTGTGATAAATCTATTGCAAAATTGCTTTTTTTAAATTTTAATTCCTTTAACCGAGCACCGGCAAACAAGCCGTTTGTTGTTGTAATACAGCTTTGAACACCACAAATAAAACCAAAACCAAGGAAGTGTGAGGTTGCACCTAGCCAGCGACCTAAACTTGTGAACTAATAAATTGAGAACTGTGGTGTGGCTCACAACACTAGAAGGAGACAGAATAAAAACAATTGAAAGAGTTTCCATATCCCTCACATCGGACTGTTTCCCCATCCCAAGTACTGGGTGGTTCAAACCACACCCACACTCAGGTGTGCCTGACCTGTTTCTCCAAGCCCCCCTTTCCACTTAACTGTGGGGCTCAAATCTATGTGTAAAATCCCCTTTTAATAAACTCCAATATTGTTCCTTGAGTAAATGAGTGATGTAACCAAGCATAGGGCTATACGCTGTATTTCCAGACTTCTGGAGGCTGAGGCTGGAGTTCAAGGCCAGTCTAGTCAAACCTATCGGCCCCAGGTCCCAGTGCAAGACCTACTGCTAAGCCAGAGAGCATGAGTTCGATTCCCAGGACCCTCGTGATGGGAGGAGAGACCGTACCGGACACATCCATAAGTTGTCCTCTGTTCTCCATAAGTGCACAGCAGAATGAAGAAAAAAAAAAAAAAGGATACTCACATACACAATAAATAAATAAATGAGGTGGGCACTTCCTAATGATAACCTCGCCCCCCGCTTCCGCTGTGCACATGTAAACATATACATACACCCCGGCACAGACATATATTTAGTCATTAAAGTAAGAGAGATGTTGATCTCCTCACCTGACTGAAGGCCAGATGGGTCATCATCTCAGTGTGGACTGACTGAGGACTGAGGAGCTGCGTGATGTCCTGAAAACAGCGGATTCAACAGAACGCTTACATTTATTCCTCCCTCGCCCTGGAATTACCCATATTTCTGTAATCAGCCCAGCATATGCACAAAACCAGAAACCGAATCTCTGAGCTGCTTTTTATTCAGATAGTGGGTTAGCACCCTAAAGATCTGCCTTCCACGCCTTCTTTAACTAGCAGCTTTTACAGGAAAGAGAAAAAAAAAAGGCTGTCAGTCATTCTAAAATTTCTTCTTGTCCCTCTGGTCAAGTGGCCAGTCTTGTCTCTGAGATGTACGGAGTTGGTGCATTTTTCCTTATCCTCTCCATCCGTACAGGGGAGGGTTCACAAGCATCACTGTCCCGAGTCTTGCATTTGGATGACATCTAGATTGAAGGTTAACTCAGAGCAAACAGACACAGGGGAAACCAGATCCCCTCTTGGGGTTTTTTGTCTCACTAATAGAAGAATTTAAGAGGCCAGCCAGTTGTGGCTGCACACCTTTAATCCCAGCACTTGGGAGCAGAAGCAGGAGAATCTCTGAGTTCGAGGCCAGCCTAGTCTACAGAGCAAGTTCCAGGATGTCCAGGGTTACACAGAGAACCCCTGGGGGTGGGGAGGTGGGTACTTAAGAATGGACTCAAACAGAAGGTTAAGGACTGTTTTATTAGAGATGGCAGATGCCTGGAGAGTGGAGGAGAGAAGGGAAGGGGGCAGCCATTTAACCAGGTGTGGAGGTCAGAGGGGTGCCAGGCAAGCAGCCACGTGGTGGGCAGGGAGGCTCTAGAGAAAGACCCAGAATGTTGGGGGAAACCCAAAGCATTAGGGAAAATACGCTTAGATTTTAAATAGATTGTAAAAAATAGAATTTATGCTTTAGAGAATAATTCAGAAGAAAATAAAAATAAAAACCAGACAGACTTAAGAGCCTCCCCAGCTGCAGCTCGAGGAGATTCTAGGAAAGAAATGTACAGCCATCATTCCTCCCATGTCTTTGGGTTGCTCACCATGAACCCACCTTTCTAAGGGTGGTCCCTTAACCAAAGTGATTGAACCAGCCCAATTGGAATGCCGGGTCTCCACCACCACCACCATCTTGACCAGGAGTTTTTCTACTCTACCAAAACCAATAGAGTGCTCTCTCACATTCTCTCTCTCTCTCTCTCTCTCTCTCTCTCTCTCTCTCTCTCTCTCTCTCTCTCTCT